TTTGGACAGTCACAGGGCAGATTAGACATTCAAGGCAGGCTAGGCCTCTCCACCTCGTGCAGTCCATTCTAGTTAAGTTCATATTGAAGATTTACCGATGGATTAGAAAAACGACTCATTGTAAATGTGATTTAACGGAGGCCTGACTTGCCTGGAAAGTTATATCTGCCCTAAGGCTCACTGGCCTAAGTGACGGAGCAGAAACGAAGTGTCGCCATGAGGTTACCGACTCGGTTTGGATCCCGAAACTGCAGAACACTCTGGATAAAAATACATTTTAGAAAGCAAGACAAAGTCTTATTGTGGGAGAATCCAACCATCAGTTGTTCAATGTGTTATGCTACCTAGGCTGACTAGGACGCTTATTCAATATCTACTTATTATATCGGAAGTACTACTTACAATAAATCAGAGTAAGATCCATAAAATTCAGTAGCAACCGGTATAGCTTTAACCCCACCCTTTTAAACGTTAAAAACTATTTGATTAAAATTTAGTCTTATATTGCCTGACTGGCTTACACCTGATAGCCTCTCTAAAATAAGATGAAAAATAAAAATATTAAGGCTGGGAAATGAGCACTCATGACACTGGCAGCATGAGGTTAGGGTCAGCACTCGTAAAAGCCTTCTCCTCGAAACATGATTTGAAGAAGTAATACGTTAATCAGCCATCAGGTCGATGGGGAACTGCATCGTTCAACATACGAACACTGAGACAATATCGATGAGCATGTTCTTTTATCTCTAGAGTATTTCCTATTTCTGACTGGACTGAGTCAGCCTCGTTCCGATCACATTCTTCAAGTTCTGATTGGCTTTTCTCTTGACTAGCCAAGATTGGGCTACTATAATCAGGTCATACTGTATTTGCACACTATTGTTGTTGTAACCTCAGCTTTGTGTGAAAGTGCTTGTTAGAAATATTCGTAAGTTGCGCTAGCAAGAAGCCAACAGCGTTTCCTGTTGTTGACACTGAAACAGTCCTCGAGACAGCCTCTATGTCTATAACCGGAAGAGGATATCTTGTAAAGTGACATAGACTGAAGAACATGATAGCATCAAACCAGGGCAAAACAACAATACTTCATCGTTGTATTCTAATGAGATCCCGACCAATGAATCTCTTAATCAGACAGCTACACAAAGTGAGTACCTAGCACAATGTTGTCTCAAGAGATTGATCGGAACTCCGTTGAAGATCCTTAATGTGCGTACAGGTTTATTAATGACTTAAGCAAAATGTGATTAAATAAAAGTATAATGAGCTATATTCACCCTATTTCGTCTAAAGTGATGAAGGACTGGTAGTAGAATTTTTCCACAATGATATGAGTTGAGCTGACGTTTCCATTGAATTTCACATAGCCTTGCTTCGCGACAGTTCATACAAATGGGGAAATTGACAAATGGATGATAAAATCTTTAATCAAAAATGACGCAAGACCACCGACAGCCTACAGACTACCGAAGATCAACAAGGAAGGAAATCTGCTAAAACTATTAGTCAACAAGAAGCATGGAGCCATACACAAACTAGTAAAATC